CCCCCCCCCCCCCCCCCCCCCCCCCCACTCTGGCTACGCAGCCTATCAAAAGCACTACCCAGATCTTTGTAGAGATGCGTCATCAGTATGGAAGTTTTGCGCTCGTTTCTCAGACGTCATTTTGCCCGGAAACCAGTGATGGCGTCTTCAAATGTGGGCTGTTTTGTCGGGCATCTTACAGGTCCAATGCATGATTGTTATGTACTTGGATGTTTAAAAATTCCTCCTAACAGCGATCGTTTTTTTTTTTGTTTTCTCGTCTAGCATCAAACATTTGCAAGACTGCCCTGTGCTATGAAATTTCTAAAGGTTTGTGGTATTTGTTGCATTATTTATAGAGGCAAATCATTATTAAGCCTTATATATAGGTAACATTTCTTCACTGTCTCGTAGGCCCCTGAGACGCTCAAGAGTTGCGTCCTTCTTTAATTTTATCATCGACAAAAATTCCAGAAAGTAGAAAACAATCTACTTTGATCCGCGTACTGTCTTGGACAAAAATGTTGAGAAAAATGGACGTTACGATGTCTACTTTCAAGATAAAGCTCTTGAAAGCACTGTCAACTACAAATACTCCCCCTTCCTCCCCCAAAACACAATGTTGAAGTCCGGCTGGATCATTTCTGATCCCGACTAAACAACTTTGACCAGGGTGGGGTGAGAGGAGGGGCCATAGCGGTACCAAATCCACGGGATACACGTTCTGTGGTTAAGAAAGTGCAAAATTCTCAACACTTGTTGTCCAAGATTGTAGAGTTACTTAGCGCTTAAAACGTCCGCTTTTCACCCTTTTTATTGCGGAAAACTCACTCTAACAACTTATTTCCGATAAAACCAAACTGTTGTTTCTCACATCCCAACCGACCCCGCTCTACAGTAGCTTTCGAAACTATACCCTTTAGACCCTATTAGCTAAACCAATAGCTTAGAAAATGGGAGGGGAGTAGCCTGCGAACGCAGACGTATTTTCGGCTAAAGCGACGACCGGAAATACGTCTACGTTTGCTGGCTTGGAGTGGGGGGGGGAAAGTGGAAAAGTGAAAGCCCTGGGAGCCAGGTTAACGTTCCAAGCGTCTGTGTGACTTTCGCGTTTTGCTAATTTGAGACTTTTGTTCGTTATTGAAGATATCTCCAATCAGCTGGACAAAAGTGTGGATCCATGTAATGATTTTTACTCCTACACTTGCGGAGGCTTCTTCAAAAGTCACAAGCTTGGAGCTAATGAAAGCCAAGTTACATCTTTTACCATTGTCGAGAACGACAACTTTAAGGTTTTAAGAAGTGCTCTGCAGAATTCTTCGTTAAGGTATCCCCAGGTTGGTGTGTAACTTTCGTCTTGTTGTTGCTGTTGCTTTTATGTGAGGCTGTAGACAAAAAGTGCAATAAAACGCTTGTGCACTATAGGCAGATTCGTCGATGTTGCCTGCCTACAGACGTTTTCCCTTTTTCCGAGAGTTCTAAAGCGCGCGAGTTTATTTTGACAGTTTGACAGCGCGCCAACCAAGCGAGTGCACAAGAGCGAGCGCGAGAAAAAAAAAAAGAAATCGATGTTCGTCTATTTTCTCTTTTCCCCACTACCACCCACTTGAACTTTCGGTTAATGAATCCCCTACCGTTTTTTTTCCATACGCGCACTCGACAATCTCTAAAGAGAAAATAGAGAGTTTGTGAACAGGCTATAGTCGATCTCCCGTAATGAACTATTCTCACCATGAAACGAAACAGTTGAAGAGCGCCTGAGAGTATGTTACGATTGATTTTACCTATCGACCGATCAAGACAGTCCACTCATGTAGCCGAGCGTACCTCTCTCGAAAGAAGTTCAGTCGTACCACGTTCCTGTCCATGACCTCGGTATGCCTGTGCTTCGTCCAAGCCTAGTAATCCATCATGCCAATTCAAGGACCCGAGTTTGAGCGTCTAAACTGATACGAGGGACCTTAAGATCCGCCGATGGGGCGCCGGCGAAAGAGTCGCTTAAGAAATGAACTCTCATTCTTTTAATATTCATCGCGATTACTTTGTCAAACATAAAATAAGGCCGGGTGCACACGAAGGCCTTTTGAAAAGTATGCGTTTTCGTTGTCACTGAAAACACATGGATCGATTCCCGTCCACACTACCGTTTTAATGCGATTTCTACAAGCCTCCCTAAAACTTTCGAAAACGATAGTATTGCTCGTTGTGACGTAAGTGAAACTCTATGCGCATGCCACAAACAGACGCGCCTGCGTAGTTTACGGTCATCGTTTTTATTTTGATGCGTTTTCGACCGCCCACCCTAATACGCATATATATGCGCTTTCGATGAAAACGCTCTGCGTATTAGTGCGGAACACATCGAAATGTATGCGTTTTCAAACAAAAACGCATTGGTGTGAAGAAGGCCTAAGTCTCCTAGAGTTTTTCATATTGCTTTTTTGACGTTCTCGTTGCCTTTTGCGTTTCTCTTTGGAAAGCTAAGCTGACTATGATCTTACCTACTGTCTTTCTATTTACTTACAGAGTTTGTCCATCAAGAAAGCCATCAAGATCTACAATTCCTGCCTTAATACAACTGCCATTAACAACCGAGGGAAGGAACCATTGGTAAATTTGATCGAGAAATACGGAGGATGGGCCGTGAATAACATGAACCGATCGAACATTTCAACGGAGGAACTCATGGGACGAGTTCTGCGGGAACTGAATGTTCAAACCTTACTGAAGGTTGAAGTTGTCATAGATTTGTATGATTCCAACAAACACATTCTTAACGTAAGTACGAATAAGGCAAATTCGGTCAGTTTGAAAATCTTTGAATGGGCTAACTAAGCAGTAGAATTTCATAGTGGTTCAGCAGACAAACCCTACCGCGGGGCTGAAAAAGGAATCCAAATGCCCCAGCTTGAGGACTGCATTAATGGCGAGACTGTGTTTACTTCACCAGTAGTCTGTCTCAGGCGTTCAGATGGTGGAGCACAGACGAAAAATAAAGTGAGCGATAAAAAGAAGAGGAAACTGGGGAAAGGTTCGCTCTCTCTCTCCCCAATACCCTCTCCATTTTTGCTCGCCTTGCCCTCTCTCCACCACTGCTGAACGTCTGGAACAGGCTACTTTACTAATTCCAATTCTAGTTCTTTTTGGAGAAGTGATACCTTCTTCTGGATGTTTCAGTATACCCCCCCCCCCCCCCCCCCCAAACCCTCTCCCCCACTTTTCCCCCCCCCCACCCTTCCTTGACTTAAATAAAAAAACATGCAGTGTGGGTGGGGGGGTGCGCCCTAGACCCGGCCTGGGT